GCAACAATTGTGAAGTTGGCACAGGACCTGGCAGTGTTTCGTTCTGTTGTGTACAGGGTCACTATGAGTTGATGGCACCTAACAACAACAAATACCTGTGGTGCAGTGGGTTTGTTGGATCAACATTGGACTGTGAACCACAAGGTCAGCAGTTTGAGCCAACCATCTGCTCTGCAGAAGAAAGATGAGGCTTTCTGCTCCTGCAAAGATTACTGCCTGAGAAAACCCTATACAGGGTTAATATGAGTTGGAACCAACTCGATAAGTTAACAAGAACGAGTTGGAAGTTCTAAGGTACTTGCCAACACCACCATCACCTGTGGTTATAATCCCATTTGGAATGGGTATTCCATGTTAAATGAATGAGAAATGATTAGTGTAGAGTGTGTCTTTAATCCATCTTTTGAGATATAAAAGGGCAAACTAAGCAAGGATTGGAGTCCTGGTGTGGTGCTGTGGGTTAATGTGCTGGACTATAAGGTCGGTCTGATCCACAGGGTCGGCAGTTCAAGCTCACCAGCCACACAGAAACCCTATACAGGGTCGCGGTGAATCAGAACCAACTCAGAGGCACTTAACAATAACAATAGCAAGCAAGGATTAAGCAAGCAGTGCTGGAGGAGATAGATGCCCAGGTGCAGGACTTCAGAAAAGCCAGGACCTTCCTCCAGAGCTAACAGAGCAAGCTTTGCCCTAGAGCCAGCAGCCAGAATCCAGACTTCTAGTCTCCTGTGAGAAAGTAAATATCCATTTGGTCAAGCTTCCCACTTGTGATATTTCTGTTAAAGCAGCACCAGAGAACTAAGACTGTGAACCCTGACGGTCTGAATCAGTCAGGAAGATTCCGAGAGGGCGTTGCTCGTTACTGCAGCAGATCTACGCTAGGCTAAAGAACACAGCTCTACAAACCACTGGGTGTGGCGCTGTGGGTTAATGAGCCAGACTGCAAAGCCGTCTGAACTGCAAGGTCGGCGGTTCCAGCTCACCAGCTGTTCCTCCGAAACCCTATACAGGGTCGCTAGGGGTCGGAATTGACTCAACGGCACTTAACAACAACAACAAAACAAACCACTGCCACTTTGTCTGGTCTCTTGCCAACCTCCAGCCCTGAAGAAACATGCAACTATCTCCAAGTTAATCTCTTCCTGGACATCACAGGTCCCCTCGGATATACCTTGTTCCAAACAGATCTCATCAAACCTGCCCCTCCTTTGCCCAGTTCTTCAAGCCAGAAACTGTATTCTTGTTTGCCCCCCTACATGAGTTCAGTCACCAAGACCTGCTCTTTTGCATCCTCCATCTACACCATCCTACAGGCTTGTGTTGATTCCCACTCCAACCACCCCAGGCTTCATTCTTTATAACACACATCATTTAAAAGATTCGTCTATAGTAGTCCACTCAAAACCACTTCTAAACACCCACGTACCAGCCACCGAGTAAAGAAAACTTTGCAATGAAAGCCTCTGACTGCATTCTCCTCCTACGTCCCCCTCCACAAGAGGCAAACCCATGCTTGAGCTAGAACTTCTCATTTTCATATCCTCTAGATCTAGTCGGAGTCCTAGTGTGGTGCTGTGGGCTAATGCGTCAGACTGCAAAGCCGTTTGAACTGCAAGGTCGGTGGTTCAAGCTCACCAGCTGCTCCTCGGAAACACTATACAGGGTCGCTATGGGTCGGAATCAACTCAACGGCACTTCACAACAACAGGAAGATGCATGTAAGTTATAGTAGTATAATAGTAGGAAACCCTGTATAAGGTTTCCAGAGAGCAGCTGGTAGGTTTGAACCACAGACCTTGTGGTTAGCAGCCCAGTGCTTATCCTACAGCGGTGCACCAAGACTGGTGGTGGTGGTTATATGCCACAGAATAGATTCCAGCTCATAGCGACCCTGTATAAGGTTTCTGAGGCTGTAAATCTTTAAGGGAGCAGAAAGCCTCATCTTTCTTTCATGGCACCAAGATTAGATCAGGATAAATGTGGCATCCCTAAACATCCTTGTTTGTCTCTCCTGGATCACATGAGCTGTGTCTTGTTGTTGTTAAGTGCCATCGAGTCGGTTCCAACCCATAGCGACCCTGTACAGGGTTTCCGAGGGTGTAAATCCTTACGGGAGTAGAAAGCCTCATCTTTCTCCCGCGGAGCGGCTGGTAGTTTCGAACCGCTGACCTTAAGGTTCGCAGCCCGATTCGTAACCACTACGCTACCAGAGCTGTGTCTACAGGGTATATATCTAGCAGTGAAATTACTTGGCCATTAGGAATGTACATTTCAATTCAACTACAAAGCCAAACCCAACGACATCAAGTCAACTGTGACAAACATCGACATCCCAGGACGGAGCGGAACTGCCCCAAAGGGATTGTAAAGCTGTCATCTTTAGGGAAGCAGACCCCACATCTTTCTCCTGCAGTGGCTGGTGGGTTCGACGCGCTGGCATTTTGGTTAGCTGAGTTCTTAATCATTGAACTACTAGGGCTCCTTTCAATTCAATTAGATGATGTCAAACTGCTCTCCAAAGTCACTGCATCTGACTATACTGCAGATGGAGCATGTCTCCCTTGTGACATGGCTTCCTGAAGAACCGATCGTACTCACTACCTTAAACCTTCCATGGCTCCCTACTGCCCCCTGAGAAAGCCCAGCCCCTCAGCACAGAGCGGCCATGATTGGCCCCTGCCGGCTGTACTCTGGTTTCGGTTCTTAATTCCTCTTTCAAACTCTGAAAATCAATACTCCAGTCACCCTGAAGGTCTTCTGCTTCCTCAAACAGGCCATGCTCTCTGGTCTCTTTGCATCTGCTGATCACTCCGCCTGGCATGTTTCACACCACCTGGCAAACCCATCAAGTTGTTTAAGAGCCAGCCATGGACAGGAATGTACAAGGCAATGTGGAAATCCACTGGTGGACCCTAACCTCAGTGAGGGGGTGGGGAGCAAACTGAAAGGCCTTTCCCTCCTCGGGCAGCAAACTTGCACTTCTGAGCACACCTCCTATAGGTGCTCCAAGCCCTTCCATGTGTCTGGCTGCCAGTGGCCCTCAGGAGAATGCTTAACTCCAAACTCAACTGTTGGTCTCTACTCGTCTGGAGCAAAAGAAAAGGCAGGAAATCAAAGACTCCAAGAAGAAACCAGTCCACTACACTAAGAGCCCACAAGACACGGCCTCTTGTAGCCTGAGAGTAGACGAACTAGATGGTGCCCAGCGACCACAACTGGCCATTTTAACCAAGGGCACAACAGAAGCTAGAATGGGAGAAAAATGTAGAACAAAACTCAAATTCCTAAAAAAATGGCTAGTCTGAGGACTAAAGTGTACCTAACCTGAGCCATTGATAGCCTCCGTCACCTCATATGCACGTGAATAAGGAAGACTGGAGAAGAACTGAGGCGTTTGAGCTATGGTGTTGGAGAAGAATACTGAAGGTACCATGGGATACCAGAAGAACAAACAGATCTGCATTGGAAGAAGATCAGCCAGAATGTTCCTTAGAAACGAGAATGTCAAGATGGGGTCTCATGTACTTTGGACATGTTATCAGAAAGGACCAGTCCCCGGAGGAGGACATCATGCTTGGTAAAGTCAAGGTCAGTGAAAAAAGAGGAAGTTCCTCAACTGGCTGGACTAACACAGGGACAACAGCAATGGGCTCAAACATAATACCATCTGTGAGGCTGGCACAGGACCAGGCAGTGTTTCCTTCTGCTGTACACGGGGACACTGACTTGGAACTGACTCGATTGTACCAACAGAGATGAGAGGAACCCCCGAGACTATTGTGTTTTGATAACCTTTGAACTTGGCTCTGAAGCTACTCCTGAAGGTCACCTTTCAGCCAAATCATAGATTGCCTTATAAAATACTCAGCATCAACTCTGAGGAATGTGCTCTCTTAAAAAAACTACATGAGACCAGATGGTCAAAAAAATTACATTTGACCAGAAACAAAGATGAGAAGACAGGGGGAGAAGGGAAGCTAGATCAATGAATACAGAACAAACAGAATGGCAACGATGAGCATGCTTACACATTGTGAAATGTGTAATGAAGGTCACAGAACAATTTGTATAAATACGTGATGTAAACTTTCACCTAAGGCACAAATACGTTTTGTAAAGTAAAATTTAAATATAAACTCTAAACTCCTCTCTGGCATCTAATTAAACCACTATAAGACTGGTCCCAGCTCACCTCTCCCCTACCATCTTCCACCTAGAGGGGGACCTCCACCCTGGTCCCTGGCTCCCACTCTGTCCCACACCCCCGAGTCTAGTCTCCTCATAGCAGGTAGCTTACGTTACCCCTGGTCAGGACATAGCCTTCCTCTGCTCACAGCCTTCCATGGCTTCCACCTCTCTCAGAGTATAAGCTGACTTCCTCTCCGGGGCCCTAAGGGTCCTACATGACCTGTCTGTTCCATCCCCACCCTTACCTCCTCTCCTCTTTCTCTCCACTCCAGTCACCCTGGCTTCCTTACTGTTCCGGTCAAGATCCCACCTCAGGGCCTTTGCACTGGCTTTTCCCTCCACCTCTTCCCCCAGGTATCTCGACAGCTCCCTCCCTTACTTCCATACATTTTTGTTCAAATACCACCTCAGGGAGGCCTTGCCAACGACCCCCCTCCCCCTCCCCCATGTCTCCCTCTGCTGCTGAGTTCTCTCCACACACTCAGCACCCTCTGGCCTCCTGCACACTTGTGTTGTTTATTGTGTTTCTTGTTGTCTTCCCACAACAACAGCAGCTCTGCAGAGGCAGGGGTTGGGGTCGGCATACAGTGGTGCTCATTCAGCATTTGCTGGAAGAACCCACGGACAGATGGCTGGCTGGCTGGGGCCTTGCTGTTGCCTGTCTGTGCTTCCTCACCCCTGGTGGGGCTGATACCCCCCACCCCATCCCTGACTCACCAATCTTGTGTGCAATGTTGAGGCAGACTTCTTCAGCTGTCAGAGAGGCTTCCCTGAAGGTGACCCAGGGCTCCCCGCCGCCAGGGCCCGCCCAGTGCAGAAACACCCTCAAGCCTTCCGTGTTGTCCATGGGCTGAGCTCTGTCCCCATCAAGCTTGCTGCCCCTGGCGGCGGCCCCCCACTGGAACAGCGGCATGGTCCACACAGTGGCTCAGATGGAGAAGGACAGCCCATCAGCTCCCAGGCCTCAGTGCTGCAGATGGGGTGTGGGGGTGAGGTCTGTGTCCGCCCCCTCCCCACACCAAGGCCTCAGCCTGGAGCACCGCTTTAGCACCTCAGCTTCTACCTTGGCCTGTCCAGGCTGTGGTCCTGAGAAGACTCTGTCCTCCCCTGACCCCCGTGATAGTATCCATTGCCCTCAAGTTGACTGTGACTCATGTTGCTACTGTTATTAATGTTGAGTCAGTTTTGACTCATAGCAACCCTGTATAGGGTTTCCAAGAGTGGCTGGTGGGTTTGAACCACGAACCTTGCCATAAGGTTAGCTGTTCAGTGCTTATCCTACAGCACCACACCAGAACCCCATTCTGACTCCAATGGCCCCGTTAGCCAGAGTAGAGCCGTGGCTTAGGATTTCCACAGCTGTAAGTCATCACTGAAGCTGACAGATCTTTTGTTATGGAGCAGCTGGTGGGTTCAAACCGCTGACCATTCAGTTAGTAGTTGAGCACTTAACAATTACCCCACCAGAGTCTCTCCCGTGACCTGAGGCACCCAATTTTTTCTGCCAGCCTTGGTTTCCACATCTCTTTGAGGGGGTTAGGGTACATATCCTCACCTATCTGCAATAACAGAGAACCACCCACCTGCTCTCAGCCGCCCCTTGTACAATTTGCACCTACCCTCACCCAAATAAGCACGCATGCAGGTCAAACTAACCTGGGTGAGTCCTCGAGTCTCTGTGTCAACTCAGGCAAGTCACTGTGTCACTCTGGGCCTCAGTTTCCCCATCAGGAAATTGGAGACGCTGAGAGCGTTGTCATCCAAAGATGGTTGTGAATGCCAAGTCTGCATGTGACTTACTCAGCTCGGGCCTTGATATGTGCATGAACAAATCGACAAATACAATGAAAACAAGAATGTTGTTGCTATTATTAAGTGCCCTCGAGTCGATTTCCACTCATAGCAACTCTGTATCCGGTTTCCAAGGAGTGGCTGATGAGTTTGAACCGCTGATTTTATGATTCAAAGCAACCTTGCAGTCTAGCACATTAACCCAGTGCTTATCCTATAGTGCTACACGAGGACTCCAAAATAATGATCTGATATACTATTACATAGGTCCTGGTGAGGTACTATAGCTAACCGAAAAGTTGGTAGTTCAAACCCATCTGCCACTCCTTAGAAACAATATGCAGGATCACCATGAGTCAGAACTGACTTGTTAGCACTTAACAACAGTTATTATCTAGGGGCCCTAGTGGAGCCATGGGTTAAACACTGGACTGCTAACTGCAAGGATGGAGGTTCAAACCCACAAGGCACTCCACAGGAAAAAAGGCAATCTGTTCCCGTAAGGTTTACAGTCTTGGAAAGCCTCCAGAGCAATTCCATTCTACTCTGTCCTTTAGGGCCACTATGAGTTGGAAATGACTCCACAGCAGTGGGTTTGGTTTCAGGTTATTATTCAAGTTTGGGGACTAAGGTTCACCTGACCCAAGCCATGGTATGCGTATTCAATAGCCACGCAGGCATGTGACAGTTAAACAATAAGGAAGACCAAAGAAGAATGAATAATTTGAGTTATGCTGGTGGTGGTGTTACGTGCCATCTAGTCAGTACAGACTTAGAATGACCCTGTGCACAACAGAACAAAACACTGCCCGATCCTGGGCCAGCCTCACAATTGTTGCCACACTTGAGCCCATTGATGCTGCTACTTTGCCAATCCATCTCACTGGGGGTCTTCCTCTTTTACTCTGACCCTCCACCTTACAAAACATTATATCCTTCTCCAGCGATTGGTCCCTCCTGACAACATGTCCAAAGAACGAGAGACAAAGTTTGGTCATCTGGTCTCCAAAGAGCACTCTGACTGCACTTCTTCCAACACAGATCTGTTTGTTCTTTTGGCAGTCCATGGCACTTTCAATATTCTCCTCCAACACCATAACTCAAAAGCATCAATTCTTCTATGGTCTTGTTGGAGAATATTAAAAATATCATGGACTACCAGAAGAACAAACAAATCTGTGTTGGAAGAAGTACAGCCAGGTGCTCCTTAGAAATGTAGATGGCCAGACTTCGTCTCTCATACTTTGGACATATTATCAGGAAGGACCAATCCCTGTAGAAAGGCAGAGTGGAAGAAGATCAGTGAAAAAGAGAAAAATCCTCAACGAGCCGGACTGGCAGTAGCATGAGCAACGGACTAAAGGTACCGACCATTGTGAGGATGGTGCAAAACCTGAGTGTTTCGTTCTGTTATGCTTAGGGTCGCTATGAGTCAGTAGGAACATGATAGCACCTAACAACAACAAAGATTGGGAGGACAGAGCTTTTGGGATGCTGCGACCCGTCTCTGACGGTCTCCCCGAGGCCTTGACCTAGCTCTGATGATGGGGTCGGAGTGAGGTCTGTCCCGACCTGCTCCCACACTAAGACCTCCATTCTCACTCCAGCCCCTGTTGGCAAGTGGTGGGAACCAGAGCGGTGAGATCGGGTACTCCCAATGCAGGTGGACAATCCCCGAGGAAGCCCGTTCCGTACCCAAAATACCCCAAACCCACTGTCATCTAGCGGATTCCAACTCATAACAACCAGGGAGAACAGGGTAGAACTGCCCCCATTAGGTTTACAAAGCAGAAATCTTTACCGAAGCAGACTGCTACATATTTCTAGAGCAGAGCGGATGGTGTATTGCAACGAAATAGAGCGCTTAACCACTGTGCCACTAGGGTCCGACCCTTTTGGTACCCTTCTCCAAACTTACCTTCTCCTGGACTCTGGCTAAAATCGCAGTCCCCGCCCTTCTAGCCGCTGGCTGGCTCCCGCTTCCCATCTAGACACCGCCCACAGTGGCCGCCTGAAACGTGCACACCCATTGGTCGTTGCTCCTGTTTTTCCGCTGTCTTGACATGTCTCCATTGGTCGTTTTACCGCAATGGAGACTTTCTGATTGGTCCGGCTTCACCTCTTTTTCAGCCGCGGTTGGCTCGATCGGCTCCCGGAAGTTCCACAATCGCATTGGTTGCCTGAGTGGGCAGAGCTTAGGAGAGGGTTGCTGGTAGAGTTTGGCGAGGGAGCGTGCTATTTGCGTCGCAGCCCAGTTGGGTCCATGCAGCATCTGGACCCCAGTCTGACTTAACGGACCTCACTCTGGTACACAACTCATGTCCTCACCTCGGCGTTGAAGGCTAACGCCGTCTGCCATCCAATCCTTAACTCCCTGCTGTATACCTCCCCATTCCACCGTGTTCCCCTCTACCATGTCTCAGCCAGGCCAACCCCACTTGGCTGGCTAAGACTCTCGCCTACATTGAAAACCATTCCGGACCACCCGCCTTCATTTTTTTTCTCTCTAATTACCTGCAATCTCTTCCTTTCTATTAAAGTGGTGGTGCTTGTTGGGTGCCTTCATAGTGACCCTTGTACAACATAGAACACTGCCCGGTCCGTCCTGTATCCCATGCTCACACTCATTGAGCCCATTGTTGCGGCCACTGTGTCAATCCATGTCATTGAGGGTTTTCCTCTTTTTCAGTGACCCTCCACCAGTCATGAAGTCCTTTCTCCAGGGACTGGTCCCTCCTGATAACATGTCCAAACTTAGTGAGAAAAGTCTTGCCATTCTCACTTCCGGTTTGTGGAGGAGTGGGGAGGAGATAGGAGTAAGAAGTTAGGGTTAAAACTATGGCAAGATTTAGGCTAGGCCTAGGCCTTCTTTGGAGAAGGGGCGCTGTAGGATAAGCAAGGCCAGCAGTT